TTACTTTAGTTTCTCAAGTAGCCTTGGACACCAGCATCTTGGAAGATATATTTATGTGTGCAATATCTGAAAATTGTCCCTGCTTTTTGGAACTCCTCATTAAGTACAGATTTCATTTCTTGCTACAGCCCTCCAAACTTAGCATCTCTCTCATGAGTGCCTGGGGAGAAGTGATGACCCACTGGACTCCCAAACCCATACAATGGCTTCTAAACATTGGTATAGGGTATGCATATCTGTTGTCTGCCAAAACCTTTGTGTAATGCCACCAACATTTTTATTTGGGATTCCTTATTTAAAACAGTGGGTGAAGTTGCCTTAAAAAAAAAAAAAAGTAAAATCTTACACACCAAATTATAATATTGATCTAATTTTTTCAAAGTCCATGTCATCCATAAGCCTGAGTTTTCCCAAGATTATGATCAAGTAGAATATGCACATTTGAAGGAGAGGGAAAATGGTAACAAAGGATGGAGACTGATTTATTCAGAGATGTGGGACTCTTTGATACTATTAGTCTGGATAAAGAGGAGACAGTTAGGACCTAGACTGTTGGGAAAGACTATCCTCATTTTAAAGCAGTGTTTTGATTTCAAGAGAACAAAAAAAAGATAGAAGGCAAAGTTAAACAGAAATTTCCATCCTGAATGGGAAATCTCAAGTTAAGAGGAAAATAACTTCCAGATAATAGCTAAGCTTTTGCTTTTTTTCTTTACCTGGAAGTATGACTTTGGGGTCCCTCTCAGTAATGTTAGACTTTGGGAATAGTTGCAAATGACAAATATAGTCTAAAACCAAAGAACAGTATCTGTTCCTAAAATGGGCTGCTTCTAACTTTTCTCAATAAAATATAAATCACGTTGGGGTCCATAATGCTAATTAAGACATCCTGCATACACAAAAAATAGAGGGTACAAAATGAAGTTGTGTGAGGAAAGACTCTGGAGGATTCTTCTAAACCAACATCCATGTGAGTGACGTCCTTTTGACTTCAGACACAGACCTGAAGGAACAGGCTACAGTGAGAGATTAACAGGTTGCCATCCCCAGAGTCTTGGTGCCAGATTTTTTTCCCTACAGTGCAGTGGATTTTAGAAAACAAGCTATGATATTTTAAATTGATTAGCATAGAATAAGATTAAAATGAAGACCATTATGTTTCTTTATTTTTCCCATTTGGGATTTTAAGGTACGTTTTGTTTCTTTCCACCATCCCTGTAAGACCAAGCCAGTGAACCACTGTTGAGAAACCTGGTTATACTCATTCACATCACAAAGCATAGAGAAGAAATAGGAAAACCACTTGCACCAACAAGGAGAAATGGCAGTTCCTCACATGGGCTTTATAGGAATGCAAAGATTATTTTACTTTACAGACATTTAAATATAACAGAATAACAAAAAATTCTTCAGTTGACTGACTGGTTTCTATAAAGTTGATGTACTTAACAGTAAAACACAAGAGTCACCTGTTAAATACAGAAATGTTTTGTACTGAAGGATATTTTCACATAACACACAAGAGAATTAACTTAGGCTCATCAATCTCACTTTCATACTGATTGTACTGTAAACAGGGATTAGGGTGACCTATGTTGCTGTGTTTCTAAGGGAGGGATGTGGCTATTCTGTTTTCACATTGCCTCTAAAAGCTATGGTTCTATTCTTGAAATCCTGTTACAATTTTGAATATGACCCACTCCCAATGCCTGCTTTACCTTCCTGTGGAACTAATATTCATTATAATTTAGTGCAGATGTACTGATTTACTTGATGCTCATAAATACTTTATCTGTAGGAAACCTACTTTGTCGAGAAGAAGCTTTAGCTTGTCTCCACCATATAGTCAAAATTAAGAAAAAAAAATCATCCCTCAAATTTGAAAGGATAAAAACTTCGAAGGAAAGGAAAATTTGCGCAAATATTTTGTAGAGTGTTTCAGGAGAGGGACTACAGTAAGTACCACCATAATGCATGTGTTACCATTAGAAAGGAGGAAAACTGGGCTTCCTATGTGACCGTGTCCAACATCAGTGGAATCAGCTCACAGGCAACTCAGAGGTAGGAACTCTCTGGTCTGTATTAAAGTAAAATGAAGATTGAGAACATCTGAGATTTCTTTATGTAGCAGCAAGTGAACTGGGAATCTCAATCAATGGAATCAAGTTGGTCTTTGCGTGAAAAACAATTTGCTTTAAGAGGTTTTAATCTGGCAGGATTCTACATGATCGCAAGGGAGTTTAAGTTGAGGTGCCATATAGAATAAGGAACTGGCAGAGGAAAAGTACCTTCTGTTCCAGCAGAGGGTAATTAAGGTATCAGCAATGCTGGTATTATCACTAAGGGCCACCAAAGACCTCAAAAAAAGAAAATAAAAATAAAAATAAAATTCTGGCCTGGTTAGCAGTCAAATACCTTAGGCAATGTACCACCAGAGCCCCATACCAAAGACCTAGACATCACTACTACCTAATGTACAGAGATCAACAGCAGGACATAAAAGAAAAAGAAAAACCTTGGTCAGCTTTTTTTTTTTCATTACATTATTAATTTTTATAACAGGATATTTTTCATTTAACTTGAATACACTGATACTAGTTTCTGGTTGTGACTCTCTTCCTATTATTTCCTTTACTTTTTAATTCTAATACATTACTTCATTTTTAATTTAAAAAGTATAACTGTAATGAGGTGTAGCTGTATATTTGTGTGTGGTGTATGTATGTGTAATTTCCCCAGAAACAGTCATTTGAAGTAGATGAGATTCAGATTACAGAATATAATGCCACGTAGTAAGTGATTTACGAAGTCAATACCTGAGTGTCTACACAGTGAGGAAGTCTGAAGTAAGAGTAAGACATCATTGCCAAGTAGGCTAGGGCTATGGCAGGTAACCAGGTTTTTGGAATCTTGAAGAGAAGAAAGGCTCTTTGCCACATGTAGATATTTACAATGGAAGCAATGGTTGTTGCAAGACCAAATGTTGATGGCATTTATAAATAGGCAGCAAACACCTATTTCTATGCTCCATAAATTCAGTGAAATTCCTAATAAAAGGCTGTAAACTGAATGACATAAAATCATGTACATATTTTATTCCTGCCATACTTGATAAAACAATTTAAAACTGTGGTTTGAAATAATCTAGGAATCCTGTACCTTTGTGTTTATAACTGTTTCAATTAAGCATAGGCTTTAGATTTAGAAGATAAGCCACAACATTTAAAATTAATTTTAAAATTAAAATTAATTAGCAAAGAATAAGATTAAAGTGAAGAATGTTATGTTACTTTATTTATTCTATTTGGGATTGCAGTTTCCCTACCGGTATTTCCAAGAAACATCTCTAACATTTGTAGAAGAGGATCTCAAAAGCCAAAATTGGATATCAACAAACTACTCTGATGCGTTATAGAGTTACATATTGTATCTTTTTATATTGTGCTTCCCCAACATTTTGTTATTGTTATCAAGTGGCACTGAGTCAGCTCCAAATCATAGTGACCCTATGAATAACAGGAGGAAATGTTGCGTGGTCCTATGCCTTCCTCACAATTGTTGCCATGTTTGAGCACATTGGTGCAGCCTCTGTATCAATCCATCTACTTTACCAAGTATGATATCTTTCTCCAGCCATTGGTCCCTCCTGATGACATGTCTAAAGTAACTGAGAGGAAGTTTTACCATCCTCACTTCCAACACACGGTTTTACTATGATTATAATTAAACTTTTGTGATGCCCATATAATACTATCAGTAGAAGATATGTACATATGATTTATCAGTATTTAAATGTTAATGCCATAAAATTTGATATGAACTTCCCAAGTTGTGAAGATAGTTTTATACACACTCTAAACCAGGGATCAGCAAGCTATAGCCTATGAGCCCAATCTGACCCACCAATGCTTTTGTATGGCTCATGCACTAAGAATGGTTTTTCATTTTTAAACAGATGATTTTTTTAAGTCAAAATAGCATAATATTTCATGACACATGAAAATTATTATGAAATTTAAATTTCAGTACACATAAATAAACAATTAGAACATATTTATGCTCACTTACTTATATATTGTTGATGGCTGTTTTTGCACTACAGTGGCAGAGTTGAGTAATGTGACAGATACCATAGGGCCCACAAAGCCTATCAGGCCTTATAGAAATAGTTTGCCAACCTCTGCTCTAAATCTATGGAAGGTATCTGGAATGCTGGATGAATTGTTTGCAGTGTAATCAGTGTATGAACTAATCTGGATTATTTTACAGACATGATATACATTAGCCCTTTTGAATAATATCTACTTGGGAAACAAAAATAAATGTGTGATTAAAAACAAAAGACTTACTCTATTGAAATGTTTAGGACCAGCAAAACAATCATACATAAAAGATAGGTATTTTTAAGAAAAAAATAATAAACGAACAGTTTAAATTACATTTCAAAGTAATGATTTCAAGGTTCCTCAGAGAATGCTAGGTGGTAAAAGATTGCAAAATTCTTATAGAAACATTGTGGAGATTGCAATCAATGTCATGAAACAAATGATTATGAATTATTGAATGGAAAACCAATTTGCTCAGTAAACTTTCACTCAAATCACAATAAAAAGTTAAAAAAATATTCTTATACCACATTTCTGGTTTCCATATTTCTGGGATATAGTGCTTAATAACAGTATTTCCAATTCTGCAATTACTATGGAGGAGACATTGTAGAGTTACTTATTATTTGTGAAAACAAAACAAAACAAAACAGGTATCTTTAAATAAGAAACCAGACAATAAAAGAGTGGCTATAAATTTAAACTGTGGTTTTTTTTTTTCCTTTTTTTCTTTTTCTATTAGTAGAGAGCTACATAGTCTGCTGGTATAGAACTTGATAGAAATTGACTGTTTTCATTTAGTGGGCTCATCCCATATCTGTGTCAGATAAAATCATAGCACTTATTATTTGTTCCCATGGATACCATGAAGATACTGCCATCCACTAAATAGTGTTAGAGGAAGACAACATAATTTTCTGGGACTAGTCCTGTTTTGCCTTCATAAGTTGCCTTTAACCATCCTGGTTCCACTGATGGGTACACTGGCCAAAAAAAAAAAGAGAGGAAAAAAAAAGTCACCCAATTATCATTAGCTTCAAATAACTATATCAAAAAAACATGTAAAAATGTGCCAACAAGGCTTCTTACTTCAGACTTTACTACCACATTACTCTTTCTTCCTCCACAAGATTTATGAACTTGGGTGATGGGAATAGGGGTACTTACCATTAGAAAATATCGCCCCCTGCGGGAAGGAGAGCTCATGGCTGTGCTCTGCTTTACAGGAATACATGGCTTTGGCTTGGCTGAAAGATTAAGAAATAATTTGTAAAAATTGTAACACTCAACTTGAGTACTTGAGTGTTATTAAAGAAGTTGATTAATATTTAATTGTAATTGGAGTATAATATACATATAGAATGTGCACATGTAAGTATACATAAGTGCATTTCACAGATTGAACAAACACACCCATATAGCCAGCATCCAGATCAAGAAACTGAATTACCAGCACAAGAAAAGCACTCTTATGTTTCCCAGACGGCTGTATTCAAATTTCTTGTTATAGATAAGTGATCTCTTCCATGTTGCAACCGTTTGTTGACATCTCAGTGATACCTCCTGACTTAAAAATGCATAGACTGACTTTGAAGAATGTTATTATTTGTTAGTGTACTTCTAAATATGCTGTTTTCACAGCTATGTAGAAATGAAAGTTCATAGGGTATCTTAAAGCTTTTTTATTTTTTATCTGCACTGTCATTTGCAGACCATCAGGGATGGGATTCAACAACTTAAATGCTTAGAGGTATGGTAAAATGGTATAAGAAAAACACTGGAATTAGTCAATGACAAATGGCAACCACAACTGGCCTACTATCAGGAATACAACAGGGATCAATGGGAACTTTGAAAACCAGAGAATATATGCATTTTCTAAACAGAAAAGCTAACATTAACCTTCCAACATCTATTTAATGAGAATTCAGGCTGTATGTGGCCAGATCCTCTACTTTTTTAACACAAGTCAGAATTTCAGCATTTTATATTCAATCTTCTGATTTAAAGCAACAATGATAAAAACCACATTTGAGCTAACACAAAAGCCATCATAGTCACTAGTTAAATCACCTTTTCTTTGCTGCCCTAGCAGCATTGTGGTTAAAGTGCTCGGCTGCTAACCAAAAGGTCAAGGTTCAAACCCATCACCCTCTCCGAAGGAGAAAGATATGGCATCTGCTTACATAAAGATTACAGCCTTGGAAACCGTTTGGAGCAGTTCTACCCAGTCATATAAGATTGCTAGCTCTGGTAACATAGTGCCTAAGGCACTTGACTGCTAACCAGAAGGCTGGCGGTTCAAACCCACCAGCCACTCCTTGCAAGGAAGGTTGGGCAATCTACTTCCATAGTGATACTGCCTAGGAAACCCAAGGAGGGGTTGATTTGGGTTTGACTTGATGGCACATAATAACAACAACAACATGAGTTTGAAAAGATTCAATAGCAAAAGGTTTGTTTTTTTGATATATTCAATTACATTGGAAGGGTATGCAACATAGCTTAACTCTACCCACTCCTCACCATCTCTACCACAACCAGAGTATAGTCAATACCATTTCTGGCTGGGTTGACTGAATAGTTTTCATAACTTCTAAATATTCTAGATTTCCTCTTTAGTCCCTTTCCATTTATTCTCTTACAGTTGAAAATCCCAACTTAAATGATAAAGCCTCATTCTGGAAACCTAGGGATAAGATGCAAGGTCTAGCTCCACCCAGGGAAAATAAATCATTTTGGACTTGTACTGTAACACTGCTGCTTTGGCAGAGCTGCAGAGGGCAAATACTGCTGATGGTTCTTTGTAGGTAAAATGCTGAGAGCTCAAGGAGGAAAGAAAATTTGCCTTGTGGGTGATTTTGAACAGGTTCACCAGATCAAGTTACTTCCCTGATAACAACCCTTCACCTAATTTCTTGCTCTGGTCTACAAAGCAGGCCATGATCAGGGGCCTTCTAGGCTCGCCTGTCTCTTTTTGCACCTCCCTTTGCTCACTATACTCCAGCCACACCAGCCAAGTCTTCTCTTTCTCACACATGTCAAACTCCTTCCCACACATCAGGCTGGTGTTTCTAGCTGAACCCTCTGCATCAGCTGCTTTCCTCTTGATCTTCATATGACTGTGTATTTCAGGCTTATCTGAAATTTCATGAAGTCATAAATGTGTCTTCCTTGATATAAAATAGCTGCCCAGGCAACTATCATATCCTCCTATTTTAACTCTGCATGGTATTATCATCTCTTATTGAGTTGTTATGGGTGATACTTTTGTTGTGTCTTCCCCAAGTAGAATGTAACCTCCATGAAATTAAGAACCAGACCTTTTCTGTGTATGACTATATCCCCAGTGGCTGGAAGGATGCTGATGCTTAGTAGTAACTCAGTAAATATTTGCTGATGAAAGAATGGCAAAAAGGGAATAGATGCTTTAGGCTTTTTATTTCCATATACTGAGTCCTTTCAAAGGTTCAAGGCACACTGTCTTTCCTCCTTGAGCATTTTTACCTACAAAGAACCATCAGCAGTATTTGTCCTCTGCAGCTCTGCCAAAGCAGCAGTGTTACACTAACCAAAATAAATAAAAACCCCACAAACTCATTGCCATCGAGTTGGATTTGACTCATAGCGAACCCTCCTTGGTTTCTGAGGCAGTATCACCAAGGAAGCTGATTGCCCAATCTTCCTTCCGAGGAGTGACTGGTGGGATTGAACCAAAATGCCTTGGGCACCACACCACCAAAGCTCCTAGTGCTACACTACAAGTCCAAAATGATTTCTTTTCCCTGGGTGGAGCTAGACCTTGCATCTTACCCCTGGGCTTCCAGACTAGGCTTTATCACTTGGGATTTTCAAATGACAATCTGAAGACAGGAAAGCTTATAGAAGAAAATTCTGGACTTGTTCCGAGAGTTGGTGTTATATGGGCTGAATCTCAACCTGCACTTTCAGAAAGTTTGTAAGGGGAACCTGCAGCAGGCAGATTTGGGAGTGACTATTTGTCCACATATTACTTGGTTCCACCATCAACACCAATGGAAGCAGCAGTCAAGAAATCAGACAACATATTGCACTGGTAAATCTGTTGCAAAAGACTGCTTTAAAGTGCCGAAGAGCAAAGATGTCTCTTTGAAGACTAAGGTGCGCCTAACCCAAACCATGGTAGTTTCAATTGCCTCATATGCATGTGAAAGCTGGACAGTGAATAAGGAAGACTGAAGAAGAGTTGATGCTTTTGAGCTGTGGTGTTAACCAAAAATACTGAAAGTACCATGGACTGCCAGAAGAACTAACAGATTTGTCCTGGAAGGAATGCAGCCAGAATGCTCCTTGGCAGCAAGAATAGCCAGACTTTGTCTCACCTACTTTGGTAATATTGTCAGAAGGGATCATTCTCTGGAGAAAGATATCCTGCTTGGTAAAGTGGAGGGTCAGCAAAAAAGAGGAAGACCCTCACTGAGATGGATTGACACAGTGGCTGGAACAATGGGCTCAGGTGTAGCAAGGATTGTGAGGCAGGCACAGGACCAGGCAGTGTTTCATTCTGTTGTGCATAGGGTTGCTATGAGTCAGAGCTGACTCGATGGAACCTAAGAACAACAGCAATTTGCCCACATAGTTCCCCTTCTCAATGAAACTCAGTCAAAGGAAGAATTGAGCACAGTGAAGGATAAGGGGTTCACACTACAGAACAGCTGTGTGTGTGTGTGTGCATAGAAAGCACACATGTGCATGTGTTGGTGGGGGTGGTGGATGAGGATGCGACCAAGTCCTAAAGACTTCTAAGAAACAGACTATGGTCATCTGGAGTAGAAAGCATATTAGTTTTCCTATGAATCTTCTAGCCAAGAAGAGTCATTTAATCTAACAATATAGTAATTCCAGACTATAGTGTTGCTGCTCTAAAAATATGACAAGATTTTTTTAAAAATCAAATTTTCTAACAGCAAAAATTTCATTTTGATAAACATGAAGCTTTACTACCTTAAATCATTAACATAAATAAGAGATCCATAAGAAAACAATTTATTTAGTTATAGAAATGATTAAGGTATAGGATTTGCTATGATGTAAGTTTTGAAAGGACAACTTAATTTACAACCAAATTCTTTTTATTAATATTTCAGACATGAATGTTTTCTGTATGGTATTTTATGAGACTGGATTAGGTTGTGGTACAGGAGGTGTACAGAATAATTGTAGCACTTGAAAAAAAAAGGTGTTACTCAATGTGTCAAAAATACCCAGCATAAAATAATATCTGACTTTTCAGTTATCTGTGGCCATGACTAACCAAAACCCACATTCATTGCTGTTGAATCAATTCCAACTCATAGTGACCCTATAGGACAGTAGAACTGATAAGGTTTCCAAGGTTGTAAACCTTTACAGAAGTAGAATGCCTCATCTTTCTACTGTGGAGTGGCTGATGGGTTCAAACCACTGGACCTTTGGTTAGAAACCAAATGCTTGAACCACTGTGCCACCAATTCTCCTTTGTGCACATGACTACACAGGTCTTCCACTGAGATCTGTAACTATAGGTGTTAACTATAGGTCTGCAGAGAGCTTTGATGATTTAATGTAGGCTGCTGTGACAGTGAAGTTTTCTCTCCAGGTGCTAATGCCTCCTCTTTTACTGCTTTGGTCTATTGAAGAGGATGTGAAAATAACACTGTCGCCTATTGTGTCTTTCTTCAGAAGATTCTAATATCTCTTTGAAAAGGATTTTTGAAAGTCTGGCCTCTTACTGCATGGGAGAGTAATATAATGACATCCACAGCCTTGAAAGCCATTCTTTTTCCCTTATTACCAGGAAGATGATCTGTACACAGCTTCACTCCTAATTCTAAACACTGTCTAATGCTGATGAGCAAACACACATAGTTTTGATAGGGTTAATGTGCAGATTCACCCCTGCTACCTTGACAGGGTCTCTATGAATCAGAATCAACTCTTTGGCAATGGGTATCTTGATCATATAGGAAATTAAAGCCTTACCAAATCAAAATTGAGACAATGTTTTCTGCAGAGCCACTTGGCAATAATATACACATATATTGTGTATACTGCTGAGAATTTCACTTCTGAATGGAATAGGAATGGACACAGATAGAGTTACAAATATGTCAAAACTGTAATATATATAAAAAAGGTAAAAGACTCACAATCTAAGTGTTCAGTAGAGGATTTAATAAATCGTATGAATCATATTTTGTTTTTGTTGCTTTGTGCCACTGAGTTGATT